TACAGACCTGTTTTTTACAGACCTGTTTTTTACAGACCTGTTTTTTACAGACCTGTTTTTTACAGATCTGTTTTTTACAGACCTGTTTTTTATCGAACGGCTAACAAAGGCTTAGCTTTGTAGCTGTCAGGATTTCTATTTTATTTATATTATTTTTTTATTTTTTATCCATCACACTGAGGATGATGTGGATGATGTCTGAAGATAACGACAAGGTGACGATTGCGCAGGCGCGACTGAAGGCGTATCAGCTGTCTGACGACGACAATACCTAACGTAAAGCTTAGCTATGATAATGATGGGAGGTGACAACACATTGAAGGCGTAATAGCTCGACCATCTAAAGGCAAATGAAAGGATGCAATCGCTTGGAAATGATTGGTAAGTTACTGAATTATTCTCATATTATGTAGCTTGTTAATAATGTCACTATAGACGTGATGTTCTTTAGTCAAAACCGCACTCTTCGATATAATAGCGTAAATCATTTACAAGTTTGTTGAGATCGTCTCCGCTCTCTCTCTTTCTAACAAATATTTGCTGCTCTCACAATCTGTTTCTAATTGTGTTTTACATAACGATTATCTGGATAATCGTCAACACCACACACATGTTAGACCTTTTACTTCTATTTTAAATATCATTCTAATTTTATTTTGGAATTTCAGGTGGTTCCAGAGAATCCGTGCTGAACCTACAGGAGGTTGGATACGTCAGGTATGTGTACTTCTATAATCAGAGTTTTATCGTTGTCGTATTTCATTACTGAAATTCATACCTTTCCAACTCCGCTCTCAATTTTTGCATACATTTTCATTATTACCTCATGTACCTATCAAGGCTCTTTCTTCTTCGTTGTCATGGCAACAAATTTATACAGCTGCATTCTTTACCACCTATGGGGAACTTGCCGAATTTACAGACCCAGTGTACAAACTGCAGACTTTCTTCGCACATCTCTTGCGGCTCCAGACATCGGCTAATACCGGTTTTGTTCTGTAACGGTGTTCTAGTAAGAACGGTTCCCACATACAATTTTTTCAACTCGTATATAAACTATTACATTTCTTCTCGGTGTCAAATAACATTTTTTTGCTAACTCAGCAGGAAATGGTGTCAGATTATAATTCTCAAAGAATAATTGTTTAATAATATTTTAGCTGACATCAAAGAGTTAAGTGACCTGTACAGTTCAACGGAATTCACCGTATTGTCGTATTAATGTGTAAGTTGCAACAATTTGATTTTTTTTAAGTATTGTTACTTCTGCTCTTTCTCGCCACAAGGCGAAAATTCTGGCTTGAAGGTGATACCATTCCTAGCATTTTAATGTTCTTTACCAATGTATCATTAACTTCTTACAAATCTCCAGCTATATTTCCAGACATCGGATAATACTGCGCTTTGTCACCTCAATATCCAGACCTCTATCTAATTCCTCCAATATCTTTTTTACTTTACAGACATTAGCCTCTATGAGATTGTGGTAACCAACCCCTTTGGAGTGGAGGCTAAATGTTTTTTAGGCCTTCATGGCTCTGTCACCCTATTTTTCCAGCACCTTATCTTCCAAAAGTTTTGTTCATCCCAAATGTTTGTTATTGGTGCTATACGTTTTGCAGCGCTTTAGAGTTACAGACTCTAGAAAACATGTGCATTCTTAGTACTGCACTCTCCCACCGAAACCCTCCAGATCTCTAATGTTTTTCTACGTTTTTTTTTCCATTGATACCGAAGCCCTCCTGTTTTATTATTTATATTTTTTAAAGGCATTTGTTCGATTTTTTCTCAGATGTACTGAATTCGNCTGTCCAGGCCTACACGAGATGAGGCAGGATAAAGAGGGATAATCCCCCTCGATCCCAAATCATTGAGGCCAATTTCTAGCCATAGAATAATGGCGCGCGCTTGTATTCTACATCTGTCTAGTTCACAAATGTCAAAACAGATTTGACATAGGCCGCCATTTGCAAAAATAAGAGCATCTTCCAATAGGGTGATTTCTTTTGGCCCACCTGTTATATGGAATGGAAGAGTACATAAATAAAACACTTGTATAAAAAAGAGAAAGTATCATTCTATTTGAAAGAAAAACGTAACTAAATCGAAACATTGTGTTTTACATAACAAAATTATGAATATGTCATAACTAAACAACCTAAATCAAGATTCCATTAAATAAAAAATAAAAAATTTAATCACAGCTTATGAATCCTGATTAAGCCTATAACGAAAGAGAAATAATTTGGTAAAAAAACATAATTTAAAAAAAATATGTAAGATTTCTTTAATATGTAACATTAATTGCATTAATTTACAGATCATATAAAAAATTATATTTGTGTTTCTGTCGACATGTTAGGTATACTGCATACGACTAAAAAATATATATTTTTTGTTTTGTTTTAAACTTTTCTATTAATACTAAAATATTTGTCAGACAGTCTATTTATTGGAACTTATATTAACTTTAGCAAATAATATTTGTTACAATTTTTTTTTTAATGTTTCGAAATAAATATTTGAATACCACAATTGTATAAAAGATGTCCCGATTTACAGTTGTACATGTCACTAATACATATAAGTAAAAAAAAAATTGAAATTAAAAAACCTTAGCAGGTACAGGATTTGCAAATTTTGACTGAGAAAGTTATAGTTTACGAAAACATGTATTCTTAAAATATATTTAATAAAGAAACTTGAATTTTGAACTTTATTTTCCAATTATTGTTAATAGACTGTCCACCTATAAATTGGGACACATACAACTGTCGTCTGATTATAACTTTTATATATATTTTTTTCTTAAAGTCCATCGATTGAAAGAAGGACGTAAAAAATATGGAATTTTATAAATAATATTCTAAGTTTTATTTACTTTTTTAGCAGTAACACAGCCATTCTATTAAAATAAAAAGTTGCGCCCTATAGAAATATAAATTAACTGAATGATATAGAAATTTAATTATGCAAAACACAGTAACTTAGAAAATATCCATTAAGTAATTGAAGAAGGAAAAAATATTTGATCCAGATTTTCAAAATGTTTATAAAAAACGGTGAGTCACTAATCTGAAATAAATTCCGTATATTAAACGTAAAAATATATATACAGGGTGTCGCAACTAGGAGACACAAAATTTTTGATGATTTTTTAAAAGGCAACTACAGTGTTTTTCTGAGCATTTTTTGAAGGGGAAGTTAGACATTGCTATCAAATTTAAATATTTATTAGCAGTCATTCCCAAGGCATAGCACGTTACAGGATATTCTTTAACACGCCCTTAAAAAAAAGCCAAAAAGCGGATTACAATTTAAAAAAATTTTTGATTGCATCATATCTCCTAGTTGAGACTCCCTATATAAATACATATTTTTTAAAAGTGCAGTGTATTTGATATTTTTATAATTTTTTTATATTTGTTTTTCGACGGCTTAACTTTTCCAATTATTCATGAAATAATAAAAGCACCGCAGCCTCTGTGAGAGCACACATAGAAGTAAAAGGTGCTTCTATTTTCAATTGTTACTTTAACAATTGTGAATATCCTAAATTATAAGGGAAGATAAATTAGAAATACCTTTCAGAATTAGTCACTGACTGCTGTGGTTGACCCTCTGCCTCAACTGTTCATTATACACATCGTAAAAGTCCCTTTGCTCGTTTACTCCACCAACACTACTGGGAGGGGCTGAGGTAGATTGGCATGGCGCGTTGCACGACACGTTTGTATTCTGAGAATTCTGGTTATTAAACACTGGAGGAAACCAAGGCGGCGGCATAGTGTTGGGCATAACCTGTGGGGGATAGTAACACATGGGCCTTGGCGGTCCACATGGCATGTTTGCATAGTTGGGAGGGGTAGGTACGAAATTCCCCGGATGGGGAAAACTGTTTAGAGGGAAAAATCCTGGTGGTGGAGGCAATCCGGGAGGGCAAGGCGGTCTCGGAGTGGCCTTAGACTCGTACATGTAACCTTGGAAGTTGGAGTATCTTACACTGTAATATGGGTTACTGCCGTAATCTACTGGGCAAGGAGGATACCCCCGAGTGGGGGGGCAGGCATAACTAAACTGTCTTCTGTTTTCCAGGACCTGTTAATATTAAATTTTAGTGGAATATGATACTATGCAAGCTGTGTATTACGTTTTGATCAAAACAGTATTGTCAATATCCCTGATGTAAATATTTAATAAAGAATGATTTGCATTAAATAGGGAAATTTTAGAAAAAAAAAAAATTTCTAATTATTTTTATTTGCGTGAATACCAAATAAGGGCGATATAGTTATATAAGGTTATTTTTGTCTTAGGAGAAAACAATGTTATTTAAATATTTTTGGTTAAGGAGGATCAGTGCTTCATCGGAGGGGTGAAGCAGGACGTAATAACAAACATTTTTATATATTAAGTATACATTAAGTATACACTATTTTTTTTATATGTATGTAATTTGTTATTTCAAAAAACGTCGAGTAATGTATGTGTTGCAGCATACTGCATATTCTATTTTTTTTTTAATTAACAACTTTGTCGTTTATAACAGTAAATTAACAAAATTAATTGAAAAATGTTGAATAAAAAAAAAATAAATAAACAGTGTAGGTACCTGAACATAAACATTCCTTACTATTTTAAAAATATATTATAGAAGTTTATTATAAATGCACGGTTTCAATCATTCAATGTGCCAACTTAAATTTCTAGTCACACTGAGATAGCATCTTTTTACCTAAAGATCTGAGTTAGCATGTTTTTCAACTGAAATTTGAGATAGCATATTTTCCAACCGAAATCTGAGATAGCATGTTTTCGTACTAAAGCGTCGATATGTAGTATTATACTGTGAGATGTTATTGCAGCCAAAAATATTTTTAAAAATGTACTGAAATTATTGAAATTAATAATTTTAAAATGAAAAATGATATTGAAAAGGTCATAGTTTATCAAAATGCTTAAGATTGTTATATGCGCCTTGATACAAAGTATAAATATTTCATTGTTTTTATGCTGCTGTATTTTTTACTTATTGTATTGAAAGTTTATCATACTTTATAAATAAAAAAAGATTTCAAAAAACATACTTCATTTGAAAATTCCTCTTTTTTTATACTCCAAATTGAATTACACAAGTAAACACAAGTTGAATGTAATCCATTTCTATTGACTAATTTGTGTATCGAAACATTTATTTAAATTTCCCGCCACCTATCGTCATTCATACTATACATATATTCTGTATAGACTCTTTTAGTGTAAAGTCACATATTTAGGCAACCCGCAACAAATTGTCATAGTTGAAATTGTACAGACCGAAACTGACCCTTGTGTACTATTGTCATAGATATTACAGGGTGCGGCAGAATAACTTCCTTTTTTAAAATGCGCGCCATTCAGTCGGTTGATGTCGTGGTGGAACGCTAGTGGTCTCGTTCGAGAGGCGGTGCTATAAAGTTTTTTCCCGACACAGTTCAGTCGCCATCACAAAACAGAGAAAAGAAGAAGGCTCATTTCAAAACGATTGGTACGCCACCATGCAGGCAGGTGGCAAAGTTCATGTGATGAATGGGTTGCATACTTCCACTATACCAGGTGTAACAGGATCATGGTACACCCCCCGTACCTCCGTTAGTTTTAAAGGTAATTGATTGAAATTTGGGATATTCCATATACATAATAAGCGGCACTTTTTGATCTACAAATGATTTTTTTTCCACTTCCGGTTTCGCCGGAAGTGATACCAACTTTCGATTTTCAAATGGAATACCCTGTATATTATTACATTTCTGAAATCTGCATAATTTTCTGAATCCAATGATACCACATAAGTGACATTTCAAACGTCAAAATTTTTTATAATTTAATTTTTAGTTTTCCATTTAAGTGTGCCATGATGGTTCCGATTTATTCCAATTGACCCGTCTAATGCTGGAAAAATCGAAATCCCGTCAAAAATACTAAATTGCGTTTTTTATGAGCAAATAAAGTTCATCGTAATCGATTTTGGGGTAAAACTCAATTTTTTCAAATGGAACCATATTGGTACCGTGGTACCATTTATTAGTACTATTAATAAGGAATTAATTCATACCTGGTAATAAAATGTGCGATAAATACAATCAAAATTACAGCTAAAAGAAAATAAGAAAATACAATTATTTTGTTCTAATTTAATGCTAAGAAACTAAGGTGGCTTTGAAAACAATGAAATTATTCCTTCAGACTGTCAAATAAATTTTGTTGGTTTATCGGTGTTTTTATTGTGTATTGGAAAAGTCTTTACATTTGTTGTTATTTTTGTTCAAAATGCCGCACATTTATACAAGGGATGAAAAAGTGGACATGTTAATTATTTATGGGGAATGTAGAAAAAATGCCGTTGCGGCTAGAAACCTTTATGCCGACCGATATCCTGATAGACAATGTCCAGCGAGAAATTATTTTAATCGTCTTGAAAATCAATTCCGAAGAGAGCCTAACCATGATCCCGAAGAAAACGTTATCATCGACGAAGGAACGGAAATTAATGTTTTATTTCGAATAGAAGTTGATAAGACTGTTTCTTTAAGGCAAATTGGGGTTGAATTGGGAATTAGTCACCAAACGGTAAGCCGAATCTTGCACAAACATAATTATAAATCTTTCAAATATCAATTGCACCAGCACCTGTACGAAAATGATCATGAACGTAGAATGGAATATTGCAATTGGATCTTGCATAATAATGTGCAGCCAAACAATGCTCTTTTGGGAAGGATTTTATTTTCGGACGAGTGTAGGTTTACAAATATGGGATTATTTAACCGACAAAATACAAGGTATTGGTCCCAAGAAAATCAAAATTTATTGCGGGAGGGTAACTTTCAAGTGCGGTTCGGTTTCAATGTGTGGCTTGGAATACTCGGTCGTAGAATCATTGGTCCAATAATATTTGAAGGACCCTTGACTGGTGCTAGATACTTAGGATTTCTGCAAAATGAAATTGAGGACAGTTTAACTCAATTACCTGTCCATTTACGACAGGGAATGTATTTCCAACAAGATGGAGCTCCTCCCCATAATTCAAGAATAGTAATTGATTACCTTCAACAGGCATTCGAAGGAAACGTAATTTCGACGAATGGTCCTGTGCGATGGCCTCCAAGGTCACCTGATTTGACACCTCTCGATTTCTTTGTTTGGGGCCATTTAAAAAACATTGTCTATGCAACCGCCGTTACAACCCGCGAAGACCTGGAGTTGCGAGTAAGACGTGCAATTAATAGTATAACGGCCCAGCAATTAGCGAACGTTCTTCAAGAAACAGCTATGCGAGTTCAGAAGTGCATTGACGTTAATGGACAGCATTTCGAACAATTGTTGTAATGTTTTGTGTTCATTTTTTGTATTTCAAAGCCACCTTAGTTTCTTAGCATTAAATTAGAACAAAATAATTGTATTTTCTTATTTTCTTTTAGCTGTAATTTTGATTGTATTTATCGCACATTTTATTACCAGGTATGAATTAATTCCTTATTAATAGTACTAATAAATGGTACCACGGTACCAATATGGTTCCATTTGAAAAAATTGAGTTTTACCCCAAAATCGATTACGATGAACTTTATTTGCTCATAAAAAACGCAATTTAGTATTTTTGACGGGATTTCGATTTTTCCAGCATTAGACGGGTCAATTGGAATAAATCGGAACCATCATGGCACACTTAAATGGAAAACTAAAAATTAAATTATAAAAAATTTTGACGTTTGAAATGTCACTTATGTGGTATCATTGGATTCAGAAAATTATGCAGATTTCAGAAATGTAATAATATACAGGGTATTCCATTTGAAAATCGAAAGTTGGTATCACTTCCGGCGAAACCGGAAGTGGGAAAAAAAAATCATTTGTAGATCAAAAAGTGCCGCTTATTATGTATATGGAATATACCAAATTTCAATCAATTACCTTTAAAACTAACGGAGATACGGGGGGTGTACCATGATCCTGTTACATTTGGTATAATTTAAAGTTTCATTTATTTAATAAGCATAAAAAATACGTTTGTTACATATTACTTATTACAGAAGCAAACATATTTTTTATACTTCTTATAATAGGGATGACATGTACACATGTATGAAAAAGAAATACATGGTAGAGATGTTTTAAAATCTTATGAGCTTTGACCTTCATATGCGTAGAAACAAAATTCCGACCGTCGCCTAAATTATTCTACGTCCTAAAAACATTACATCTATTATTCACAGTCTCTCTCGAGCTCTAGCGTAAACAAGCCTTTGATCCGATTACAAATATCANTATAAATATGGAGAAGAAATGCCGTCGGATGGAATATCAGTTATAAAGTAAAAAGTGGCTATTATATTTGTTGCGTTTCAAAAATTGGGTTAAGAAATTTACGAAACATCAACTTTTTTTAAAAATTTTAACACGAAAACGAAGCATTGTCTTAAAAGCACTGTCTGTTAAATTTATTGTACAGGGTGGGCAAATAAGCGAGGTAAGCGGCTGTTTCTCAGAAACTAATGATCGTAGAGAGCTACGGTACAAAATTTTATAGGTAAAGTGGGCAATGGAAAATGCTGGAAATTATTTTCAAGTTTTCAAGATGGCCGCCAGTGGGCGTTTCCACCATCTTGAATTACATAAAGTTACGTTTCTCGCGATTTTCCCCAATGAATGTAACAAAAAAGTATTTGCGTTTTAATGTTAACTTAAAGTCGAATATTTTTTGTAAAAACAATTTTTCTCTATCTTTCGAAATAAAGTGGTGGGGGGTATTTGAATGTTGTTTTAAATAAATGCCTGTAACTTCGAAACGGCTTAATGGATTTGGATAAATTTGGTATCATTGAAAAGAGCATTTCTTGGGCTTTTAGGTTTCTCGTAATCATGACAGTTGCGACCTACACGGCCGCCGATAGAGGGCGTTATTCGATATTATAACCAAAATATTGGATTTTCTCAAAAAATTTAAATGCGATGATATGACTTTTTTTAGACTAGAAAATAGACAAATGACCAACCAATAAGCCTGCGCAAACCGCATCTTAATATCTTTTTCCTAACTCAAATTATTAAAAAAAATACTAAACCAGGAAAATTCATATATCCCCATTTAAAAATGCATCGGTTGCTTTCGATAAGAAGG